ATGCAGTTGGACTTCTTTATAATCAGATATTTTTTCCAATTCATTGTTAAGTTGTGGAGGATTCAAAAGTCCAGTGCTCCAAGAGAATTTATTTTGAGAAGATAAAGATGTCTAAGAAAACTGGAGAGCCTCTCTTCAGATAGCTGCTTTTTAAGTTTCATGATATTGAAAGAATAAGCTGATTTCGGTTTGATTTTACTGTCCTAGAGAGACTGTAGTTATAACCATCCATGGGGTATCACTGACAAGAACCAAGCACATTATTAATATTTCTGTTTGTTGCTGGATACTAGTATGGAATTGGATATGTATGTTGTATAACTAAATACATGTTTCTAATTAGAAGTACCTTGGCAGGAAATAGTCTTAATAAAAACAGAGATGGAAAAGCAAATTCAGGATATTTGTAGAGCTCTGTGCTGAAGACCATGTACTTGGGAATCAGAGTTCACTGGGGTGAGGAAGAAGAGGAGGAAAGGGGGAGGTTATTCTGCAGAACTGAAAACCAAGTAATAAGCCCTATGGGAGTAAGACTGTGAGCTTCGGCCTTGTTTTTTAAGGAAAAATCTACAGTGTTTCTGAGTACTGTAATTCTTGGACCTCAGTGCAAATTTCAGTTTCCTCTGATTACAGAGAAAAAGAGGAAATACGTGTATTTTTTTAATAGAAATAAAAAACTGCTGTAAGTTATGTCTCTCTGAAAGTGCTTTTGTGGATGCAGGCAACTTATGTGGCTGGTTTAGCCTTTTGCTCTGTCCCTCCTATTCCAAGTAAAGCACTGCTCTAGCATTCCTACACCTGATCTCCTTTTCTCGTGAAGATTAGTCCTGTTGGCCAGGAAACAGCATTAACAGATCACACATTTCTTAAATTTTATGTCACATAAGTAGATCTACTTTAAAACTTTAAGCCCTAAATAACTGGTATTTAAATAGAGCATTGGCCTCTTTCGTGAGGATGCTTGCCATTTCCTGACGTGTAAAATGCCTTGCCAGCAAGCCACAGAGCAAGCAGGCAGTCAGAAAAGAAGTGTTCTTAACAGAAATCTTGTTTAGTACTAGTGCTTCAAGGCGATAGCCTGGAAACAAATGAGGCTCCTCAATGAGTGGCTTACATCCTCAAAACCCAAAATGTTAGGACCCACCTGCTCTGATGCAGGATTTTGCTGCAGTGGGACCCCCCTTTCCCCCCCAGCGTTATATTCCAAGTGTTTTATGGAAAACAAGAAGGGAGAATACATTAGCCAATGGAAAAACCAAAACTTTTTTCAATTTAAACCGTTATTTGAAACAAAACCAAACATGTGAAATGGACTCTTCTCCTGATGACTTCTCAGACAAAGGCAGCATTGACGTGCACCGAAATGCCAGCAGCAGAATTCATGCCGTCTGAGTGCACTCTAATGCTAGATCCATAATCGCTTGTTCTGCTTGGCAGTTTTTACAAGCAGCCATTTGTTAGAAAAATAGACTTCATTTTTCAGCTCAGAGTGCCCTTGCACCATGTTCGTCTGATAGAACGTGAAGCTGAGCTTCTCTCTCCTGGCTGTAGCACTTTGCATTTCACAGGTGGTGACTTGACTGAACAATGAAAACATTTAATTTTCACTTCTTGTTTGGTTGGTTTCACTTGCCATAATTTATTTGGGTTTTTTTTTCCCCCCCATAGGTTTGCATCCAGTGGTGTTGCAACACAATTTATTTAATTTTCAGTTAAAAAAAAAATGTATACATGTTAAACCTGTATTTCTTTATCCAGATTTATCTTTCCCAGAATAGGTGTGGAAGTTGAAAGTGTTGTTGTCTTATGTGAGTACCTAAACATTAGATGAGGTAAATTTGGGCCTGTGGGCCTAAACCACGGGAAATGTATCCCTCACTATTGCAGACGCTGGAATGCTGTATGGAACCAGGCTCTCCATAGAGAGTTACTGTCCTTACACCTTCACTAAGCTGATTTGAAGAACACTTAACTTAGTGATTATTTCTGAACAGAATAGATGTTGGAGACCGGTCTGTTGTACAGCTGTGAGACACTTTCTCCTCCGTGTTATATTCAGCTAGGATGTGCTCTTGGAGAAAATCAGGGAGGTTACTTGGGAGCAGCACCAGGAATTTCAGTCGCAGTACTTAAGATATAAAGTTCTAAAAAATGCATATTTCTGTTCACGGATCAGGCTTAAGATAGTGACAGAACTGCCAATTATTAGATAAAGAATGGCACTTCTAAAATTTCTGATAGATCTACCAAAAATACATATTTTGAGGGAGTAAGGGATATTGTTAAGGGCTTTCTGTGCCCTAGTTTTGTCTTTTTAAATGGGCAAAAACAGGGTGGAGGAATTCTGCACTACTGACACAAGTAAGTAACCTCAGTTTTGTGATTGTGATCCCCCCTGCCCCTTTGCCTGGTGTCAGGTCTTTTCGGTTGCACAGTGTAAGCTCCTCAACAGAGATTAGGCCTTTTGGTTTTTGTTTTGTATGAAGGGGAAGAAAGAACCTGCACAAACATTTTAATTCTCTGTGACTTACTAAGCTAGAGGAATTGCATTATCCTGGCTGGTTGGTAGCAGCAAGCTGTTTTGCCACCAGATTTATTTAGGTTGAACAGTCTTTCAGCAGCAAGAGATGAAAGCTGAGTGAGTTTATTTTATGCTGGAACATTTCGTATGTTCTTGTCTGATGCAGAAGAGAAATATTGTAGAGGCCTGTACTTATTTATATAGTTCTTCTGAAAGGCTCAGAATGGTTTATAAGTGCTAAATTAAGTATGAGGTGGGCAATTACATAATATCCACATTTCACAAATGGGGATGATCATAGTTCAGGAAGGTTAGCTGCACGAGACCATGTTATCATCATTAACAGAAGTAGAAATAATGAGTCATAGCCCTGAGTTCCTTGTGCTTATCTTCTGTATTACAGCTTTCAGGCACTTCAGCATGTGTTTGGCTATAAGAGCAGAGAGGTTATAAAGTACACTCTGGTTAAATAATTTCATTAACCCTGTTACCTCTGCTAGATTCCTCACTGTACTTAAAATCTGTGCTCATATGTCGATGCATTGATTGGCATTTTAAATTGAGTTGTATTGGGCCACATTTAAATCCAATTATAAAACTGTGGAACACAAAGTTAATATGATTAGGTAATGATATTCAGCATCAAATTGTTCTTGATAAAAGGTGTTTGAATTTTAACTTCTTTTGTTCAATCAATTTTAAGATCGTGGTCTTTTTATATAGCCAAGCTTTTATCATAGAGTTGTAGGCAAGATACTTAAGAATATTGAATTAGCTCAGAATGAACTGTGCCAACATGCTGGGTCATGCTTTTGACTTAGCTCCAGTCAACAGCATACTTTACAGAAATGCTGTGTGTACCACTTTACAATCTGGGTCTTTGGTCAGCATTGCCCAACTGCATGGTCTTTTCATTGGTGCTTCTAGCCATTTAAGGGAGTGTCTGATTTTGAAATTGGCAAAGAGCTGTCTGTGAAAATCATTTCATGTCCTTTCTTTTTAAGGCAGTTGCTATGCAGTACTACTAGTAAATAAACAAGTTTTGTCTTACCTGGTCTCTCAGAAGCACTGTGTAGAAGTTAAGACACAGTACAAAACCCTTCTGTTTACCTTTCTTGTTGTTACTTGATTATTCCCAATACTTCAGTGATAACAATAATAGAGCACTTCATATGCAAAACCCTTGGGGTAGAGATTTGCAAGCTTCTGGTGTTTCTTGCCAAGTTTATTTTTTACAAAGCATTCTCACTCAATGCTGGTAGCACCAGCCCACATCTGAGTCTGTGCCAGTCCTTTTCCATTTTGTGCTGTAGGGCAATTTTCTAACATAATCAAACTTAAACTTTACATGTGGTTTATTGTAAAGATATACCTTTCATATGGCTTCTTGGTGTACCACTTGAAGGCACTCGCCTTTTCTAATATTAACACTTTGTCAGATAGACTCATGAAAGGTTACGGTTATCATGCATTCTTGATCATATTTATTTAAAATAGATAATTTGACCTGAAACACTTGCAGAGTTTGGTGAAGTTGGCTAAGAACTTCTTTGCTGGGAAAGCAGTTTTATTACTGCCTGTAGGGAGCTTGTGGACTCTAAGATTAGTTTTCTTAGGTTGTACTCTTTGCCTTGTTACCAGATTCATCTAAGTTGGTATGTTACGTGTTAGCATAACGTAGGGGAATGTCATGCTCATAACATGATAGCATGTTAGTATATGTTAGCATAACATATTGGGGAATGATTAGTGCATCTGCTGCACTTCTATATAGGTATATACAATTAAAAAAGGGTTTAGAGAATGTAATTTTATGACAGGGTCATTTGTGGTAGAGGTTAGGTTGTGCCATAATGGGGGAACAGTATGCAGGCTGGGAGCTTGGAAACAAAATCCGCCTGTGTCTGCAAGGTTGGGGAGGTGGTTTTGGTACAGGCAGATACAGATCACTGGGGAGCAAGTTCAGTGAATACGGTGTGAAAAAAAGATTCTTGGGGCTTCTCAAGTGGGAAATGCACGGTGGATAGGAGACCTCCTAAGAGTTATCACTATTCCAAAGTAATACTGTGACTAAAGAGTATTTAATTTCTTTGAGGGTACTTCAACTTGCATCTGAAACGTGATTAATCTCCTGTCATACTAGGTATTCCTCAAATACAGAATTTTTTATGTAATGCAACTTGAAACCAGTTAATAATAATCATCAGTTACAATATCTGTTGATGTACTTTTAAGCCTTTTTGTACACCTTTTATGCTTGCCTCCGACAAATTACTTGCATGCAGTGTTTTCTTTATTTCTGGTTTGGTGCTTCAGCCCTTAGTGTGAGACCTAGCTAGACTGTAAAACTCTCCTTCTGCAGCTTGCTTATGCTTGTGGCGTTAACCTTTCTGCAGGGGGTTGTGCTGTTTATTTACAGAATTCCATTTTCCAATTACAAATAGAATATTATTAAGAGAGTCTTCTTTTTACCAATTAGGTCAAAGTCCTAAAATTTTAAGACCTAAACCACATGGTTTAGAGCGAACTGATTCACAAACCGTAGGTGACTTTACTACAAGAAGAAAGGGTATGTACCTTAGCACTGTATGTATATGGAGCTTTATAAAAATACGTAAAACAAAAATTAAGAAAACTGTTATTCTAGAATAACTCTTGTGTAGTCTTTTTACTTCTATTGTAATCTAAGATCATGGATGCATTTTATTTGCCAAGCAAAAAGTTTCCTGTGTAAGGAATTAAAGTCTTTCTGGCTTGAGTAGCACATGGAGACATTTCCTTGACTTTAACATGGGTGTTCTGATCCCTTATGTTTTAGCTGTTCACGTTTTGGATTTATTTTTGTCTGCTTATTTATAATCGAGTATATATGACTTCCCTGTAAGTTGCTTGAAATAACTTTTGTTAGGTAATAACCTGAAATCAGAGTTTACTTGAGTTTCCTGCTGTTGGCTGAACACTGAAATAAAGCAAAATATTGATCCTCTGGCCACTTACTAGTACAGCGATTTATTTATGCATCTGAATGAGCATTGCAATTAGTCTGATGGGTTTTATTGAAGGTGCTGAGTTGGTATAGTCACAAGAAGTAGAGGAGATTACAAATAATGTTAAAAATCTTACTGAAGTGTCACTGATAATTACCTTTGGTTGTTAAAGCCCACTGCAACTGGATGAAATATTCCTGCTATTCTCAGTGGGCTTTGGACAAAGTCCGTACTCTCTCTCTGCTGGAGCAGTACCTTGCCCACCAATTATGCCTGCCATGTAGTCTCAGGCCTTGAGCCAAGCTGACCATTTTCATGTCACTCGAGCTTTAGTATCATCTTGCCTATGTCAAGTTCGGTTCTGCCACTCTTATCTCATATGATACCTTATATCTTGAGATAGATGAGTTGTAGTTCCTCTTCTGAGTCTGTGGTGACAGCTTTTTATGAGCAAGTGGGTTAAAGTGGCAGAATTACTGGAGTAGGCTTGATAAGCTTTGAGTGCATAATTATGGATTCTTAACAGAGAAAAGGAGAAAACTGTTTGGGCTACTCAAGACCGATACTTATCCAGAAAATTTGAATCGTGAGTCCTTGTGTTCGAAATGTAGGAGAGCTGACTTTTCAATAAACTTAGTCTGAAGAGTGAGTATAATGGAATTGTGATGAGTACAGTTCTGCTTTTTCCTTGTGAGACAACACTAATCAGGCAACTGATTTCTGTCAGTTTCTCATGTGGTCGCTTGTGACAGCTCTTGCTCCACATGAACTAGTGCTCCATGCCTGGCATACGATCTTGCTAAATCTACCGATAGGCAGCAAACTGATGGGGAGGTGAGGAGAGAAGAGTGTTATTATGATGACATTGCATTTTATTTTCTAAAAACAGTTTTAGGGAGGATGAAGTTGAGACTCAAACTGTAACGACAGTTTGACTGTATGTAATTTCCACCCCCCCCCAAATCCTGTGATTGATACTTCTTCCCCCTCCCACACACCCACATTTAGGAGGGGTGAAACGTACAAGCTGGAGGGAGGGATAATGCGTTTCTCGCTAATACTCTATCTGTGGTTCTGTTCTGAAAATGGAATTTAAAAATGGCACCTTTTTTAGAACAATATTAGCTGTCATTCATGGCACAAACACGCCGCTGCTCTGCTGGGCTGTTGATAAGCACTGAAGCAAGCCAAGTGCCTCTTGGAATTGAAGCTGGGCGTTGGCTCATCTCTCCCTTTTGCAGACTTAGTCTTAGCTGCAGATTCTGCCCACTCTGAGCAGTGAGACCTCGTCAGTAAGGGCACATGTATACAGTGAGGGCAGAGTTTGCATAATAGCAATTGTCTGCGAGCCAAGCAAAGTACCCAGAGTTGGCCCTGCTGGCAGTTTAAGCTGAAACACTCGATCAGCCCTGTCCTGGACTTGTCAGTTCAACAAGTCATCACGGCAGAGTAAAGACAGAACATGGTGCTGCCATTTTCAGAGTCTCGTTTCAAAACAGAATTACTACCTACAAGTATATCTTGCAGTATTCTTAAATTATGGGATTTTTTTCTAATTGATGTTGCTTTTCAGAACCTGGAAAGATTAAAAATGTAAGTTAATGTATCATGGCTTTCTGAGTACTGAACAATGTCTCTTTTTCCTAACTAGTGTTTACTATTTAAAAAACAGTATTTTTTTTTGGTATTGAGGCTTTGAAAAGCTATTAAATTTAAGTTTGTTTAGGATTGTTCTGTGCTTTAAGATTGTCTGTTTCTTATATAGCAAAACCAGCTCCGCTAGAAATAAAACCTCTGCCTGAATGGGAAGAATTACAAGCCCCGGTTAGATCTCCTATCACCAGAAGCTTTGCACGAGAGTAAGTTTCTTAGCTTTTCCTCATTCAGATTAATTGTTTTTGTTGACTAGAGTGTCAATAAATGTGTGTACATCTGTACTGTATTTTTAGCCTGTGTAATACAAATGGAGGTTTCCTTTGGAAGTGTGTGTGTGTATATGTGTGTACGTATGTATATATGCATGTGTGCGTTGAAACAGAGTGTGTCCATATGAATTTTTATTTTCTAATATTAAATATAAGGGACTGCGTATAACCAAAAAATGTGACACCCTAAACTTGAATGACATTTCAGCTCTAATATGCTTATTTTTGTTGTTTACCAGGAGGTTTAAGATATTCAAGATGTATTGTTTGTAAAATAATTCCTGGTAATTAGCTCCTCCAGGTTTCCCATGTCTCCCAGACCGGATTCAGTTCATAGCACAACTTCCAGCAGTGACTCGCACGACAGTGAAGAGAATTATGTATCCATGAATCCAAATCAGTCCACTGAAGACCCAGTATGTAAAATCTACGTATTAACTACTCTCTTCCTGTGCAGTCCTTACTTTTAAATCATGCAAACACAAATCCTTCCACTCAACATCACTCCTTTTATACTTCTAGATCAAAACAACAATTGAAAAATCTCCGTAGAAAAAGTGTAATTTTGGTAAGATTTCACTGAAGAAGTTAAGATCATAATCATATATAAAGAGAATGCTTAGTATACACATCTATTGTACAAAACAGTTCAATACACGGCACTTTTTTTTCTTTTTCCCTAGAAACTGTCTCTTTTCTGTAACTGCTTCTCCTGGGCTATGCACACATTCAGTATTATGACATCAAGGGAAATAAACTGTCTTAAGACCTCTGGCTTTAATAAGGCTTAAAAACCTTTATTAAAAGGACATCTTACAAGAAATGTGGAAGGAACAGGGGAAAAAATAGGATTGGTATTTGTTGTTTACATTCTATAAAAACTGAGCTATGTGTACTTTTATTAGGCTTCTTTCAAAAAAGAAGGTAGAAGGGATCTTTGTGTATTGAATAGCTATATTTTTTCCCCCTTTTGGGGAGAATTTTCTCAGATACTAAAGTTTCAGATGCTCAGCGTGCAATGCAGTAAGTGAAGAGCTAGTTAGGAAAAGTTAATGATGCATGCTGTGGTTTTTGTTTAGGTGGGGGGGGAGGGAGAAAGAGAAGAACCAGTAATAGTGTTTTAAAGTAAGAGAGTAGCAGTAGACTTAGGCCTAAACTAAAATGTGGTCCAGAATACCCCTAAAACACTGGAGGAAAACCTCTATCTTTAGCCCAGTTTTTTGTTCAGTATGGTTCAATGCATTCACTGCATTTTTATGGCTTGGGTTCTTAGTAGGGAATACAGCAGCATTTTTCATCTTCAGAGCGTTATGAAAGACCTTCTTTCGGGAGGGCCTGTCTAGCACCTTTTTTGTCCTGTCCATTTGTCTGCCGCCTTATCTGGCATGTGCTAGCCCATTCACTACAGCCTGGACTCTCCTCTTGCAGCGCTGCTTGCTTCCCCATCCCCTGCTGCTCTGGATACCCTCCCCGATCTCCTCCAGTCTCCCTCCCCTCCAGCTCAGAATTGATGCTGCCTCTGAGGTGCCCCTGAGTGAGCCGCTCTTGCAGACTTCTGTGGGGCAGCTCCGTTGCCCTGCAAGCTCCCAAGGCTGCAGAGCATCCCGGCTTGTGCTCTGTGCCGTGCCTGGCCCGCCAGCAGCATGGGCAGGCTGCCCAGGTGAAGCGCGCTGCCGCAATAGGCGGCCAGGGATGTGAAACCGTAGCCCCCTCTCTTGCAAGAGGCATTGGTAAGTAATCGGTAACAAATGCAAGAAACATCCCACTTGACACGAAGGTTTGGGGTCGCCTGTTGCCACAGCTCTGCCTGCAGCACAGTCACAGTTCAAATTGGGGATTTCTGCTGATTCCCACAGTTCTACCTGCTGCGGAATCGCAGTTCAAATTGGGGATCCCTGTTGATTCTTGCAGTGCCACTGGAGGGGTTTAACTTCAGTGCCAGGATGGTATAATTAATATCACAGCTCAGATGGCCTGTCATTAATATCTTATGTTTGCTTGCACGATTCATTCATTCTTGAAGGTTGTTCTACAGATTTCCTTTCATTTTCATTTACATATATTTAAAGTTTCTGTTTTCTAATGCATATGTCCTGCCTGTCTGTTTTGTTTGAAATCACATACTAGTTTTTATTTAAAGAGTAATAGCTTTTTTATTTATGCTGGGAACATTGATACAGAACCTGATTTTTGTATGTTAGATATGCAGAAATTTGTGTAAAGAATTTGGGCAACAAAAATGAACTTTGTCTCAGTTCTTTATGTTTGTTCTTGTTACCACTTAATAGTAAATGAGCTGGACAATAAAGATATAATGTATAACTTCAATTTAAAAAGCCCAGCCCATTAAGCTTTAACCCATAAAATGTTTTATTTTCTAGAAAACCTGAATGCTTTTATATCTCAAGGACTTTGCTTTAAAGTGTGCCAATTACGCAGATGTTTTGGAAATTTTTATTTGTTCCAACGGCATCTTGGAAAGAAGTCTATACTTTTCCATCTTTTTCCATCATCAACTTCGAAGCATCTTGTTTGGACATGTCATACTTGTGTTTTATTTAATAAAATCAGCAATATTCTGCTGCTTCTTTCAAGTTGCTGTCAGCCCTGCCCTTCTGTCTTTCCTTCTGCCTTCCTCTTCATTTTTTGCTGACTGCTGCCCTCTGTCTTCCTTTTTTTTCTTTATCTTTTAGAGAAGAGTCCTTCTATTGTACTGTTCCTATAACACCTGTTAAGAGGGAGGGATCAGGCTGGGAGAGGACAGAGGAGGTGAGGTTGTAAAAGTCTGGGCTAATTGAAATTTAGGTATATACAATGCAACTTCAGTTCAGGCAGCCCTACGCAAATTTTCCAAAGTCTTAATCTTTTGATCTTATCAATGGAATAATATTTTGTGATTTTCACCTTAATCATGATGGCTTTTGAATGACATGTAAAAGCTTCATTTGAAGTTTTACCAGTGTTGTAAGGCTGAAATTCTTGTAAGGTATTTAACAGCAATTTAAGGAAATAAAGAAGTTTGTGTTTAAGTAACGCTAAATTTGAGATGTAACAACTTCATTTAAAAAGAACAAACCACACTCCATTCTTATCTCATTATATGAAAGGGACATTAGGTGGAAGGCACAGACTGGTTTGGTGGCAGCCTTAAGTTTGGGGGGGTTGGTTCTGGGGTTTTCCCCCCCGTTGGTTTTCAACTCTGTCTGAGTTTTGACTTAGAATATATCCCTTTGCTGTACAACGCCAATAAAATTTGCATGGTTTAACTGATTGCAAGAGCTGTCAGTCAGTTCTTTAACCTTTAATATTTTGGCAGTTTATAATAAGCGTATTTGATAATGTGGACCATTAGCGTGTACATTTGTAGCTGAAGTTATTTTTATTATCATTTCAGAATTTGTTCGGAAGCAACAGTCTTGATGGAGGAAGCAGCCCTATGGTAAAACCTAAGGGAGATAAACAAGTAGAATACTTAGATCTGGACCTAGATTCGGGAAAATCTACCCCACCTCGTAAGGTAAGCCAGTCTTCAAGTCTTGCATTTCTGCCATCAAGAGATTAAAATTTCTTCACAAGTAGTTGCTGGGAAAGCGAGCGCCTTAAGCAAGATCATATTAACTAGTTTGTCAAATGGTCAATCACAGAGCCTATGTTGGACATTTCAGGGAAAGCTGTCCTTGTTCTATATCTGTTTGGGACATCTACTTACTTTTTGTTGTTAACTTATTTTAAAATATGTGTTTTCACTCTCCTTTGCCTTTCGCAGAAGAAGAGCAGTGGTTCAGGCAGCAGCGTGGCAGATGAAAGAGTTGATTACGTTGTGGTCGACCAGCAGAAAACGCTAGCACTGAAGAGCACACGAGAGGCATGGACTGATGGGAGACAGTCTACAGAATCTGAAACACCTACCAAAAGCGTGAAATGAAAATACTGCTTTTTCTCCAAAGAACAGAAAGGAGTGAATTTTGAAGAACTGCAGAACCACAATGTCAGTGTTGTTCAGCTGTACAGTACCTGGTTCACTGGTGTGTGAGTAGGTTCTTGACCGAATAGGATGGAAGCCAAAGGACACTTCGAATATATCAAAAGCATTTTAGGATCATAAATTGGGTCTGTGGTCTCTGGAAAATTGCAACCTGTAAATAACATGTAAAATAGTATTGCTTAGCTTTCAGAAAACCTTTCGTTCTGTAGTTAACACGTTTGTAGTATTACTGTGTTTATGCACTTTTTCAGTTACAATGTTGGTTCAGGTATTCCCAGTTAGTGTACCTTAACACCTAATTCTAATTTTTCCTTACACTACTATTCCTAAACAATTTTAGGTTAATTAAGCTACATGTAGATACAGAAATTAATATTTGAACTTCATTTTAACAACTTAAAATTGATTTTACGGAAATACTTTCACAATTGAATAATCTACTTGAAATGCCAAGAAACGACCGTTAGTTACATACTTGTTTATATTTAATACACGCAAGATTATTTGGAAGTCTACAGGTTACCTTCCTAACAAAAATTGCTGTGAGTTAATAATAATGAACTGTACTGGGTTTAGACCTACAATCCTGGCTTATTATGTTAGTTGCTAGTGGTGGAACTTCTATTGTATTTTATTAATGACAGTGTTCTCTGTTCAATGGGTGAAGATTCTGCAGGGTGGGATCTTACACTTTTAAAGACTGAATAATTAAATATCAAGTAAGCCTGCAAACCACTGATGGCATGCAGTAATATTGTGATCTCACACTTATTAACAAGAAATAACCTTTATATTATTTACAGAAGGTAGAGTATATAAATCAGGTACGTACCAAGCACTGTTGTGCTAATACACTGATCAGGTTTAGACAATGAGCTTTAGTTTTGTACTATTTAGAAGTTCTAATGTCGGTTTTCAGTTCAAGATTAATGGGACAGTTTGACATTCACTGTTTGTAGTACTAGCAATATACTGTGATTTTGAATTAGACATAATTCAAATGGAAATGCTATGTTTTGACACCATAGTGCCCTTCTTATGATCTCTTTTACTTTAATCTCCTGCTTGGCCTTATATTTAAATCCCTATGCAACTGATATTTTATATCTCTGTTTTTACAAATTAGATAATATACTTAAATGATCCCCTTGTAAACCACTTGTTGCTCTTTCCTGGAACAGGATCTTAAGCTCTGTATACTGTGATCCTTTATTTTACTATGCCAGTTCCAAATAATAATCTGCCTTGGTTTAGAAACATTTTTTGTTATTTGGAAGAAGATAGAGTTCTTTAAATACGTGAATGAGTTAGGTCTAGATAGAAAACTTACTAACACTTTTCTTTTTTTTTTTTTTTTACACAAACACCCTCAAGTAAGCAGTTGGTTTCATTTTCTTGCCCAGTTGGGTGTTTTTTGTCCAGATCATTTAAAAGTTGAGCATAGAGCTGTGTTGTTTTCTGGCATGTTGGCCTTAGTACTGTGCCTAATCTACCATTGGTTATTTCTCTACCCTCACTGCCACAATCTACAGTATGTAAATTATCTTATTCTTAACAAAGGTTCTTTTTAAATTAGTAATATTTTGATGCTTTGAATGTTCATTTTAAAAAAGAAACTAAACAAAATGCATTTTGAGGTGAATTTTAAATAAATCAAGTTGTTCAGTTTTGATGTGTAAACTCTGTCCTGTGAAACAGCAAACCAATGTTAATGCGTTTATGAAGGTGCCTAGATACCAACCACACCTTTTCAAATTTAAATGTGATGGTTCCTAGATACCAACCACACCGTTTCAAATTTTAAATTTACCTCTTAGTGTACCTCTCAAGAAAAATGTACAGCTAAAACAATTTTCAAAATGAATCTCTGATTGAAAACCCTGCACCAAGCAGCTCAATAATCTGAATTCCTAGTTTTCTGGGAGCCAGAAGTGATGGGAGCCAGAAGAAGCGATGGGAGCCAGGAGGAACCTTGGTGGCTCAATCAAAAGTAGTTCAGATCCATAAAGATTCTGGAGCTAAGGCTCAACTCTGATTTGATGGTCTTCCTATCCAATAATAAACTCTTCTTCACTGATGCTACAGCTGAAGCACCCATTGGCATGGCGAGTACTTGGTAACTAAAGTAATGATAGTTTTGGTTTGGGACACGGGCTTTAAGCATTTTATCAGTGCAGTGATATCAGTGCAGTGCATCTCCACTGCTGAGATACCTGTAACTCGTTAACAGATGTGGTTAGATAATTGCTTTGCTGTTTATCCTATGTAATCGGTTTGGTGCTTGCCACTGGGGAGAAGAATCATACTGCAGACTCCCACACTCATGCATACACCAAAGGAGAAAGCTGATCACGGAATATTTCAAACTCATGTTTCTTGATGCACTCAATAGACGGGATAATTTGAGGGAGAAGCTTTAGAAGGGCTTTTACGTATCCCTAACCTATCTTTCCTTGAAACATTTACCAACTACACAACTATGTATTATTTGTAATCCTCTGGGGTTTTGTAATTGAGCAGTGATACTTATATTTAGATACCTATACTATTTTTTCAAATGTTGTGAGCATCTGATAATGAAATATAAATGCCTAAAAGGATCAGTTTCCTAGGCTGGCCTCACTTGTTAAGTTAGTGATACAAGGTGGTTTTGCTCTAAGCCTGCTCATAGGAGTCCTTGCTTTACAGATTACACTTACTCTTTCTTCATTTGAAATTTGGCAGTGTTCACAATGTTAATTGTTATTATGATTGAGAATCCACTCTTAATTTCTAGGCTTTCCCCCCCTACTTTTCATTAAGGAAAACAGCAGCTTTCAGCCTGTATGGACAGTGCAATGTTTTCTTAAGTAATAGTCAAAAATTTCTTCTTAATTAGATTTCTAAGTAGTTTTCTCCCCTTAATTCCAGTAATACGTTTACTTACTTGTTGTCCAAAGGACGTTCAGAATCAGAGACATGATACCAACTCTGGATGATACATCTCATTTTCACTTATAAAACCAGAGTGGGACTTCGTGGTGCAGGTCTGCCTGAGCTCTTGGATAGTCTAAGGATATGAATATTAAATTGAAAATGTGAATCCTAAGATGGTAGGTGATGGAAGGAAAGCTAGACTGTTGTTAGCCTTGTGTAACTTTCAGTTACTAGCTTTGTGAGGACCTCTAGTTAGAGGGATGGGTGCCAGTGGAAACTCCAGTAGACAGTGGTGCAGAAGTAGTTTGTGAGTGTTGTTTGTCAAGTGTTCTTTTTCGAAGAGGCAAGTTATTTTTTGTTTTACTAAAACAGTACGTTACTAGTTATGGATATAGTTTTCATTGCTGTTATGTGTCATAAAGAAGAGTCCTTTTAAGCTGCAAATATATGTGTGTAATAGGTCTTTTACCAATACATAAAATCTCGCTTACAAAAGTCAACAGAACAACTTAGTGCCTTGTTTGATTGATTAAAGATGGTTTGGTATCACTTTATGCTCTAATCTGAACAAAACGTTATCTGGTAAGTACTAATGGCTGCACTTCTACACACTGTGACATCATCACTATTACCTCAGGAAGTGCAGGTGGAAACACGCAGCTGTTCTGCTAAAAATTTGTAAACTGTCATTGAAAAAGATTAAAAGATGAAAACGTGATCATTAGTCTTTTTTACGTTACTGAGATTTGTATTTATGTTAAAAAAAAATAAATTAACAATCCATTAACATAGGGCAGTTGTGACCTAGTGTCACACATAGGGTGTACAGTCTTGCTGTTTGAATTAAGTAATTTAAAATTTGTTGCTTCATGTAGCTAAATAGGGAGTGATGGGCAGGTCTATAGCTTTCACATAGCACTATGAGCTAAGCAAGATTTTTGTTGCAGTAGTCTTGCAAAACTACTTTGAAAACCTATCAGTCATGGAGAAACCTTCCATTTCCTACTTTGCTTTAGAGGCTTGTGTCATGAGAAGCCAAAGGATATTTATTTGCTCAAGAAAAACGTATTGCGATACAATATCAGTGTACAATTTTAGAAAGCAATAATGTCACGTAATCTGTTTGAATATTTCACACCTATAACTCTGAAGAAGCTGAGCGCTATCCACAGGAGAACTTAAATTTGGGGATTATCCTCTGTATTTCTTGCATCTGCTCTTGGTCTGTGTGTATTACACCAAACACTGCTTTTTAAGGTGCGTATCTTGTTGTCTGTCTTACTACATGGAAGGACTAATGTGGTCCATGACCACAAAAAAAAGTGCTGGTCCAGCAATTGGTGTAATAAGTGTTCCACAAAAACATTGTGTTGATTGGGTATAGATGAACCAAATACTAAGCTGTGAGGTTTTTGTTTGTCTTTGTATTCTAACTGAACAAGCAATTTGGGTGCGGATCTCAACTTGGTGAGGTGCAGAGTGGGACAGAAAGAAAAGGTGCTTCAGATGTTTATGAACAATGTCTTTGACATTAAAAGTTTCCCAGTATATGTTTATGGTCAGCATCCTTCAAGTTAATTTTCAGTAACAGAAGTGGGAGAATAGAAGGTATTGGATGTATGACTAGTTGAAAGGCTTTTGCCTTCTCGTCATTAGATAAACAGAGCTAGACTGTTTCGATGCCAGTGGTTTTCTTTTTAGACGGCCTTTAAAAGAAAATTCCCATGTTTTATTTGAAAGGGATGATCTATGTTTCCTTCAAAGCTGAAGTGTTAAAAACAGTTGTGTAATCTGCAGTGTACATGCACAACTTAAGGAACACTCAACATTTTGGTAAAACCAACTTGCAAAATAAGTATCTCGCTGTGATGCCAAATTTAGTAAGCCAGTAGAATTATTTTTCAGTTTCTAAACCACAATGCATGGGCCAACGCCTTTCACTTCTGTGTTTAAAAACAGAAAGGAAATGTTAGAAAAACTTCATAATTTTGAAATATTTTTAGTTTACTATGGTAAAATGGAATAGAAAAAAATCCCGTACAGTTTAGAACATAAAATACGAAGTTGTTAAAATGCCAACTTGCAAAATTTTCTTGCAGTTATAAAATCAGCATTTGTAGTAATCATTGTGATTCACTCTTGAAGATTCTTACAGGATCCATCATTGTTGCCAAGCCTTTTCCCAGTAAGTTATATCTGCAATGAAACAATAAGAAAATGTGTGTCATACCAATTTTGAGAAAGGCCAACCCTACTATTATAATACAATTTTATTAAATGCTGTTTGAAGTAGCTGTAACTAGCTAGTGACCAGCTGTATAACGTAACAGTGCCACTAGATGCCCAAGGAACATCACTTAAAGCTTCAGGTAAAGTACAGATTTCTGTTCTGAAACCCTGTTTACAGAAAATATGTTGGTATCTGAAAAGCTGGTCATTGGTACTGAATGTGAGCAAATACAACTGGGCAGCTGAAAGTTGCCTTTACTACATTTTTTTAATCTGACAGCCAGAATAGGAGAAGAATATAATCGTGCCTTATTTTTCCTTAATTCCTACCAGACTTTAAATTACACAAGATTTCATATTTTTATGCTATTTTCAGGGAATATACTTTAGAAGAAGTAGCCACGACTTGTTTCTGTGCACTTGTCCTGTGGATTTACACACTTGTAGACGATGCAGACTAATTGAAGTGCTTGTTCAGGATTTTTTTCCCTTACGTGTTGGTGGTGAAGGATGCTAGCCTGGGAGTTTTGGAGGTGCCTCCAACTGGCCTGCTGGAGTACCTCCATTTGAGTCTGGAGTTCATTGCATCAAAATGGTGATTCAGCCCTCTGCTGAGGTTGTCTTCATAGTAATACATCTAAATCATGGTGTACAGATTTAGTTATTTTTTAAAAATCAATCATAGTTGAGACCAAAATGTTGAAACAAATGGTGTTCAGAGGTAGGCTCCATAATCTCTAATTAGGCATGGAGCAGCATTTTTAAATGGCATTAAGTGTAATAAGTTGCAAGTTCCCCAGGCAGATAGCCCCATTGTAAGATCTTTTGAGGAGCAGACTTCAATATTCAAGGCACCGGTGTATCCTGTTTAAGTGAAAGTTTTAAGAGCTTTTTCAAAAGAATTTCATTTCTACTCAGGTATGTAAATGTAAGTTTAGGAACTAAAATATAAAAATTCTATTTGTGTTTAACTATTTTTTTTCCTGCATAAATGAAAGAAGCGATGATGCACAAGACAATTTAACCATTAGCTCAGCTCGCTGACAGCTCAATAGAGGGAGCACGGAATAGACTTAGCCCTTGAAGAACTTTTTTAAAAAGAAGCAAA